AAAAAGAAATAAAGTAATTTCAATTTTTTACGTATTACACTTAATGAAATGAGGTATTACTAAATGTATGGAACCCTGTTAACAGTTGATTAAAGAAGAAATTGACAGTTGACCTTATTCAGTATCAGTAATATAAACGCCAGTGCGAGCCACATAATAATATGAAGCATGAGTTATACTTCCAGGAAATACCAAGTTGCAACTTGAAGTTTGGAAGATTTATCCTGATAAAGTTCTACCATTTACTTTGCATGGTAGAATAGTAACAATAAATGCATAGCAAAAGCTACATCTTTCATATAGTGACCAGTAGGAACTGTCACTGGTGAATATGAACTGTTAGACTTAGACACACCATTTTCAATGCTATTCGCCATCTAAAATAAGATCTAAATAGTCTGCAGTAAAATATTTAGACCTGTAGCAATTCCTGTATGCCTTTCAGAATATAAAGGCATAAAAGTGCTCTGACCTGTAAGGCAAATAGAGAAGCAGATTTTAGAATAGACAGAAGTCCAGAAACAATACAGAAAAATTCAACCACCACACCTCCAAAAGGTTACTCAGTAGTAAAATGGAAAAAATCTTTGACGAAGAAAAATTCAATGGGCTTGTAGAAAAGCACTGAACTAGGGCATGCTGGAGGTGGAAACTAGAGGGTGAAAAGCAATGAGAGAAACTGAGGATGTCATCCTTCCTCCCCTAAAGTAACTGGCCCTCTTCACCTGCCCATTATACACCAGTGCTGTTGAGAGGTCTGTCACAGGAGGAGAATATTTCATGTACATAAGATTTCCAAAGGCAAGCTGTAGCTGAATGAAGAAACAACATTTTTTTCAGGGTATTTGCAGGGCTGCATAAATGCAATGGCAACTAATCAGATATTGCATCTGTACTCATCTGATGAGAAAAGTTTATTTAGCAAAGCCATTAAAGCCTGATTAAAATTTGATGGGATGATAGTATAAATGTGGCAAGTCCAGTGGGGTCTGAATTGCTGCCAGTATTGATTAACAACCTTAACAACCCAGTGGGAATCCTATCAAAAGCGTATTTCAAATCTAAGACATGGGAATCAGAATAAAGCCCTGGATAACAACTGCCATATCATTCAGATGAGTGTTTTATGCCCCTATAAGACAAGTGAATGAAATGAGATAATGGAAAGTTGCCAAAGGATTGATTTGACTCACAGATGTAGGTGGGAATTTGCAAATGCTGAAAATATGAGGCCAGCTTCATACCTGGTATAATTTCACCAACTTAGTTGAATTTTCCAATGGTTAAATATGGCCCATAGTCTCTGTCCTGATCAGCTTAAATCAGACAAATATTTTGATAAATTGGAAGATAACAGTTTATAGATTGTAAAGGAATACAGCTGGCATGGAAACGGATGCAGAAGTGATTACAGAGAGACTTGAGAGAGAGAAGGCTGTTTGGCTGACAGGAAAAATGTAGTTCTTCCAACTGCAAGGCTGGCAATGAAACGATATAAAACCAAACATGAGAAGAAACAGAGGAGAACAGATGCAGAAGAGGATTTGGAGAAATATACAGAGGGAGAAGGAGGACAGAATAAAATTGCAGCTGGTATGTTAGCAAGTCTGTCATTTCTTTAAAGGTGGAGATAAGAAGCTTGAACTTTTTGTGTCAAGGCAGAAGCCCGAAGAAATTTAAACGGAGAAGGGAGAAAATGGCAAAAGCATGAGATTGTTTTTAATTCAGGCATTTCTGCTATACTGGTAAGGCAAATACTGAGATTTGGAAAGAGCAGAAAAAGGTTATGTTTTATGAAAAGTCAGTCAAGCATGGTCTAGATTTGAAAGAACACAAATTTAAAAAAGCAAGGAATGAGTGTTTGTCATCCAAGGGCACAAAAGGGTAAGGCAGGTGTTGCAGATGACTCTGAGGTTTGTTGAAAGAATGAAGCTGTTAACAATGATAAGGAAGAGGTAAAATCTAGAGGCTTGGGGGGTTGGTTTTGTTTGGTACTTTGTTGTGGGGGTGAAGGGGCTTGGTTGGTTGTTTTGCAAAAGACAGTCATAGGTGCTTTGTTCCAAATCCTAATTCTACAGTTCGCTAAAAAATTTACCCACACAGGGTAAGTGTGAAGAGCGTTAACTGCAACCAGCTTAATAAATTTTGAGTCAATTGAACATTTATAATTATTAAATAAAAAGTAAAACTCAAATCCCATGTGGCTCTAATGCGTAAAATATTGGATAGGACTCATGTCCTTCCTTTACCGGAAGATGCTTAAAGTATTTACGAATATTCTCTTTTGTCTCTCTTTGCTTAATTGCTAGATAGAAAGTTTTTGTTTAAAATATCTGTCACTGGCACGTTTTGGACTGTGAGAGGTTCTTCTTATTCTTACAGTAGAGGCCTGTGATAGGGAATGTCATAGGCCCATAACAGGGGATGGTCTTTTGTAAAATGTCTGGTCATCACACTTGTGTCTTGACCCTCAGCTGAGTGTTGTCTGCAGAACTGCTTACAGGTGGCTTTGATGGAGACAACAAAGGAAGGGGTTGCTTATAGGTGTGACATGATTGCTTGGAAAGATCTGCCTCCACCTTTGCATGGGGAATTTAGAGACAAAAAGGCTCTAGGGTACTGATACGAGAGGAACAGTGAGAACATTCAAGGGGAAAAATTGCTATGAATCACTCATAAATAGCTACTTTCAAAGCAATGTGATTAAACATTAAACACTGCGGTGTCCGGCTACTGATGGAAGCGTGGCCTGCCTCCACCTTTGCATGGGGAATTTAGAGACAAAAAGGCTCTAGGGTACTGATACGAGAGGAACAGTGAGAACATTCAAGGGGAAAAATTGCTATGAATCACTCATAAATAGCTACTTTCAAAGCAATGTGATTAAACATGCTGTTGGGAGAAGTCTGCGGTGTCCGGCTACTGATGGAAGCGTGGCTCCTTAAATACACGTGTTGTTGAGAAGTACGATGAGGTTGTAAGGTGTTCTAGATCATGAGGTGTGTTAATATCTGGATTTTTTCATTCTGATATGTTGGCTTAGAATAGCAGTTTGGAAACCTAACCATATAGCAACCATGCGTATCTTCCTTTTACCATTTTCTTTCTGGTTTTTGTCTTGTTTGTTATAACCTGACATAGTAGTACTAGTCAGTAACAGGTGAATGTTGCCTGTAATGCAGCTTTTCATATACTGCTGCACTTGGGCTTTTCTTCCATCTGATTTTATGAAAGGAATTGAATGAGTTTCAAGACGTTCCGCAAGTCCTGAATGTCCTACAAATTGCAAAATCCACATTGTCTCTTTTTTTTCTGTTTGCTAAGTTTTTTTTTGTTTGTGCCCAATGGAGTTTAACCGAATAATAGTGACTTTAGGAACTAGTTCCTCCAACTGCTTTATACGCAAACAACTTTTTCAATTTAGCAGCCTGTCGTGCACACTAAATGTCTTATCATTTAAAAATGTATAACTTCTTGATTTAAGTAGATATATATGAGGCAGGTCTTGGTCTAACATTAATCTATCTTCTGAGATGAAGCAATAAGGTGCGAAGTAAGTAACACCAAACTTCTCCCCGTCTGGGGTTTTGTGATTGGTTTGTTTGTGGAATTTTTGGTAACCTTAGTTATATCTGAGTACTAATTCCTTACTCCTTTAAATGTTTATATCCTGATTAGCTAGATATGGGCCCCAAATCATTGAAACCTGATGGAAATGCTGAAATATTTTGCTGATCAGGGATAAAGTTAAGCATATCCATACAGTTCAGCCCATTGCTTTGCTGAATCTAAAGAATTTACTGAACTTACTGTAAACTTCTCCCCTACAAAAATCATCCTGCTTAAATGTATGAGCTAAGCAGTAGAAATGTCCTGAATGCCGATCAGGATACTGTTACTTGTCTATAGCCCAATGCTGAAGGTGTTGAAAGAGAAAATGGAAAGTTAACTTGCTTGTAGGGAAGAGTTGTTTGGTTTTGTTTGGCTGTTCCTGCTAACATAAAAGCCTGGATCACTGAATAATCCATGAGAAGCTAAATGTCTGCCAGCTGGGGTCACAAAAATACTGCTGTAAGCAGCCTGCTGTAAATGGTAGATAGGGCAGACCTAAACCAGGCAAAAAGTCCATAATCACATTTCTGTACAAGTACTCACCTGGTCCCTACTGGGTGCCCCCTGGCCACATAATTCAGGAATCTTCTGATTTAGGAGGTACTGAAGCGTTAATTTTAACTTTGCCAATTAGAAACTGAGGCTCACCAAGGCTGACCAGATGGACGAGCATGGTTAACAACATAACTCTTGCTTACGTGTTCAACGCCCATAGATTTCAGCA